TTTTGTAGGGATGAGACGGAGTATTTAGGTGGTGAGGAGGGAAAGTGTATATCAGTTGTGAGAAATTACAATGCAGAATAACGCTTTAACAATAGGGGTTTCGTCAGCTGAGTGTAATCGTCTAGCACTAGCCACATGAAAATATTATAGTTACAATAGGATAAAAGGGTTGAATTCATGTTTTAAGCAAGGGGTTTGTATCTGTCTTTATGATGATATGAATGATTATCGTCTTTACTCTTACTAAGTGTATTGAAAGAATATTCTAGTCTTCACTGATATTAAGGTGCATTAAGGTGATGTATATTTAGAAGTAACAATACCTTATAGCGTGTGGTCTGCCCTCCCCCCTTCTCTCCTTCCCTCAACCCAACACACACACCCCCTCGCCTTGACAATACCAACTTAGTATCACCACCACACAGACCATGATAGCAGATGCAGTACTCTTAATATGAAAGTTCAATGGCAAATATATGACATTAACAAAGGGTACTTTTCCATTACATTTCATATAATTTATGAATCAAAAGTGATTATGCTCATCTAAATCCTCTAATAATTAAAAAAAAAGAACTATTAATCAATAGCCATGGCTTACCTCAATCTTCCACTTTATAATGATTAGGGAATTTATTGATTAAGGACAGTATCAAACTGAAATTTTTCAAGTATATGTTCAAACTGCTAACCATAACTTTCATTGTCACCTGACTCACCCATACTAAATATGTCACAATGATAAGACTACAACCCCAGTAACAAACGATTAACTTTATATCAACAATGTATGAAATTTTAACATCACAGGATTTGGACGAAAGGCTACATTTATTCAAATGTTCGTTAACTTATTACTGCCTTTATATTTGTTAAACAATAAATATAAGTTTCTCTTGTTCCCGATATGCATATATTGTTTCATATTGGCTAAGCAAACATATATAGATATATGTTCTGATGGTTGGGCAACAAATAATATAACTTCAGTGGCAATTGGAAACTCATGGTTATTCCTAGGGACAATACCCCGGGTGTCGTTTGTACTGGCAGACTCAACACTCACTTACTTAACCAATGTTACTAACAATAAAGACAGTTAAAGCTTTCAACATCACTCACAAAGGATCTTGTAATCAAACATAGCTAAGTTGACTCAAAACAATGGTGTTCTCTCTCATATTCAAATTCATTTTATAAAGAGGTTGGTTTCAGTAACTCAGAGAAAATAGGATAACGGAGGACTGAGGCGTCTTGAAGCGATGAGAAAACGGATGTCTTAGATGGGAGACTCAATAAAGAAGGCATAGCAACATGATTTGTGGACTATCGAGCGTAATATGAATCACCTGGATTTACGTTAACTGACGTGTATGACCGTGGTCATTACAGCACTACCGCTGGGAAGGCAAAGAAGTGTGCGCCTAGGCCCCCAATTATCTACAAAACGATGCATTTGTACAAGAACTGATTATCATATCAGAACTCACTGATGAAAATAAAGTAAAAAAAATAAACAGCTGTAACAGAACCTTTGCTTTATATAAATATGCACCCAAATGAATAACAACAAGCTATTCACCAAGTGAGTCACATAGTGAGTCATCAAGTTATTCACGACTCTAGATAACTTAGCTAGCATCTCTTTCAAAGGTAGAGCATGAGTCGAACTGATTTACCAAACAACCGGCTCACTCTTTCATGCCCAGAGCGGGCAGTTCACTTCCAACTATTGGACGGAGAACCCAGGCACATAACTCTAAGTGTTATCTCAAAGTGACATTCACAACACTTCCCTGGAGAGACTCACAATATATTCTTTCACATTGTATCTGTGTATGTACCTTCTTTGCGTGAATAGCATCATTACTAACCTAACCATCAATGTCTTAAATGTAATAATATATAACAATAAAAAAACAACTTAACACTATTTGACCAAAAAGTCAGTTGAGCTTTAAGGCTTAATTAAATGCCCAGTCCTTAGAAGCGTAGGCATTAAACGTGAGTGTGTGAAAAATCTTGTCCACCCAGACCAACTGTCTCCACCAGACCAGGAATCCCGCCAACAGTTCATCCATCAGAGAGAAAATCAACTTTGTTAAGGCGAGGTTCATTCACTTTTGTCGGGGGAAATCCATTTTGGCGGAGAATTTCCTGACGACGGCTCACCCAGTTGAAAAATATCATGTAAACAAAGAGGGACATTTACTCACACGGTCTTGGATCCTCTCCGGGCAGGAAAGGCTTTAACCTAGTTTCTTCAGATATGTTTTCAGAAATTGGCTGTTTCTCTTGGTTTTCATACTACTTTATTTGTCTGTGTATTTTATTGTTTAACTTTAATGAAAAAAAATTATACATTTGACAAGGTGGGCCCGATGACTTCCGAAACTATACGTACAACTGGTGATGTCTCGGGTGGGCTGGTACACGTGTCTTCATCCCCCCTCCCTCCCCAACGCAATTCGGTTATCCAACACAGGGGAGTGAGTTGCCATATAGGAATAAAATAAATGGTAAGTAATTATCACATAGTATAAGGAGACAGTTGTCATCGTTTTTGATACGAGTATATGGGTTACGTATTAATATAGCACACATGGGGTCATGAATCAGTGCATAAGAATCACCTTTTCGCTATGTTGCCAAGTATTAATCGAATCTTGAGACAAAGTTTAGTGTTGGTGAGCCTGTTCTACAAAACACCACAACACTGGCTTTGAAGCATTTCAGAGGCAACATGATGCAATAGCGTGTTAGTTATGCCATTCAGCATGGAAACGTCACAGGAAACACTAAGGGCTATTTCCGCACCTGGAGACTGGCGCTACATGTCGATTACGGGACGTCACCTGACCCGCGCCGATGACGTCACTACTGCCTTAGAGGCATGGGAGCATCTACGAGGCCTTGAGGGACGAGACCTAACACCGGAGCTGGTGTCATCCATGCCTCCCAGGTGATGCTTACACCAAATACTGTCCTAATAAAAGAGACAATCAAATCATGTTTTCATTTCCTATATACCATCGCTGTTAGAAAATTCAGTATTTTTTACATGTTTCATTCTGTATTTCCGACCAGGAAAACGTAGTAATTTGAATTACTTTTTTTGTTCTGTAAACTATTTCAGACACTCTCTTTCCCTTTTTCAATTTGTTTAATTATCAATATAAATTGACATTTTATCATACCATATACACTTCATGATGCATAGAATATTTAAAATTGCATGTTTATGCTATTTATTTCTATATGTAATAACTGAATATGCGGTTGGCGGTTGTTTGCGGTTCACGTTCGTCTTATGTCCGTGTTTGTTTACATTATTTCAAAGAGGCGCATCACTCATTGAAACGGAAGGCAGCTTAGAGGGTCAGTGTTTTCCCTCTTAGGTATATTCTAAGGAGATATGCCTTAGCAAATTTAGCTAGATTAATGGTAAATTTTTACAATGGATATCGAGTATACATGTCTTCTCTGTAAATATGTTTCAAAATCAGTAAGGAGATATGTTACCCAGGGCCGGATTTACCTACTTGTGGGCCCCAGGCCAAACTCATCAGTGGGCCCCCAGTGAGATCGTTGATTATACAGTATGTTCAAAGTCCTCATGTTATATGGACTACAAATGAAGTATATATATGGTACCTCGTGTTTCATACCAGCTGGATTCGGTAAAATGCTACTGACACCACATACGCGGCACGGGCAGTTCCCAATGAGGTTCACGGCGCCACCAGCTCGATGAACAGGCTTTGTGTGAAATATAACAGAGCCTAGGACTGCTTCTAGTGTTCTTGTGGGTTGGTCGGTAGCATTTCCTCGTCCCACCCAGTAGGTCGAGGGTTCGAATCCTGGCTGGTGAGGTCGTTGATTATATGTTCAAAGTCCGCGTGTTATATGGACTAAAATGAAGTATGTATATATATATATATATATATATATATATATATATATTATGTAAAAATATATACAGAATCTCTGTAAATTATACAGAAAATGTTTGGCAACAATATAACCAGAGAATTTATTGTAATTTTTTTTTTTTTAAGAGTGCAGTATTCATGCATAAATTACACCTTATAATTATATCTTACCTATATTTAGGACGCTATTTGATCTACACTTATCGATACCATGAGTGATAAGATATCATTATTACGTGATGCTATTGATTAACGGGGGTGTTGACCAAGAGAAAAACAAGCCACTACCTACATAAAAAACAGTCAAGCTAGATTCTTAGGAGTTTCTATAAAATGATATATTTACACTACACAATGTTCATTGTATAATGGTCTTGCAAAACTAAATCAGTATGTGAGTGCTTGTATAAAGCTATTTATGGCATTACAAACATATTTACTACGATTACGACAGAAAGTGTCGCTATAAATCAACATACGGCACCCTTGTGCATACGAATAAAGGAAAAAAGTCACAAGAAAAAAGTCACAGGAAAAAGGGCACGGAAAAACCTAACCTAACCCAACCAAACCTAACTTGACCTAACCTAACCGAACCTAACTTAAACTAACCTACATGCAATGCCATCATATATATAATGTGCTGTCAATGTGTACAAGTCATGTGACTTTTTTTCCTGTGACTCTATTTCAGTTCACCGTGCATACTTGGCTATACCAGCGTGCGGGTGGAACAACACGCATATCCCAACACCTATCGTCTATGGTCTCATATGTTTCACACAGAGTAATGCACAGATACTTTTTTAGCTCCTGTACACCAATTCACAGTTTTTAACCATTATTGATTTGTTTCAGGTATATACAGTTTATCAAAATGATGATGTGTCTTTAGTTTTATTGTGAAAAGTGAAAGCGAGTCCTGAAGGCCTAGCACCAGTGAGGGTGCAGCACACTATAGACTAAACCTTTTATCGTTCACAAGGAATAAATGTACACGACTACCCTGACATGCCTAACAGCAAAGTACCCATTGCTATTAGCTGAACCGGGGATGCCCAGCGACCACTAGGACAGGAGGCGAGAGTTGAATCCCCTCGGCCCCCGCACCCGACCTTTAGAGATAAGGTTTAAACTGGATGGTTGAGCTCCCTGAGGGTAAAGGGGAGATACACACAGAAAAAAACTCAGATATATTTAACACACACACACACTACATCCTTGACCACCGAAGGGTCAAGACCTATCAGGTGCTGCTCCTGCTGCGCAGCTGCCCCCCTTGGCCAATGTTGGCCCATTCCCCAAGTCCCTCTCCTCAACCCATCCTCACCACCGGGATATCAACATAATTCCGTCAAAAGTGACAATTTCGCTTCGGAAAGAAGTGGGATCCGTGTTGAACAGTGTTTAGGCCAGTGAATTCAGCACTAGAAAGTACCAGCGAGAGCAGTGATTCTCCAGTGAGATAAGCACCTCTGGGAACCGACAACCATCTTCCGACCAGGCGGTGATAATCAGTCCACCTTGGGACAACAGTGGGCTTGCTTTACACCTAGCAGAGAGTGGGGTACTGTGACACCACCCCACACCAAATCGGTGTTTCCATGACCCAGTGAGGTCCTCCATGTCAACACCCGAGGACGAGTTACTGCACCATGTGAACACCACACCACCCGGTGTCTCCATGACCACGTGAGGTCCTTCATGTCATCATCTACAGACGAGTTATTGACCTACGTGACCTCACACAGAATGGCAAGAAACTAGCCCAGGCCTTCAACTGCAAACTATAATAATTTGTATGTTCAATTCATGTTCCTTCTCCTTTAAGTAATGAAAGCTATTGTTAAACGACCCACCCACCCCATGTCTTTGTATGTAATAAGTAATTTTTGTCTAATTTATATTTTCAGCCTTCGGGCTGCAAATTTTTTTCAATAAACCGTTAATTATTATTATTATTATTATCATTATTATTATTATTATTATTACACACACACACACACACACACACACACACACACACACACACACACACACTATAACACCTACCAGCCCACATCTTGGCGTTACACAAAGATCTCATCACAGAGACACCCAATTAATACCAGCCTCAGCTTTAACCTGGAGATAGCTCGCCTGGAGGTGAGACTTGTATATGGTATGTCTTGATTTCCAAATGATCTGAAAGACAAAGTGACAAGTTGTGAAATCAAAGGAATCCTGGAAATTACCTATTAAGTGTTCTGGATGGGTTTATGGGACGCGGCGGCAGAGTGGATTAGTATTTACATCCTTTTTTTTTCTTTCGGGATCGCGGGTTCAGCCCGGAAAACCCTCAGTCCACTCAGCTGTAAATGGCTCTCTCTATCACCATACATGTGGGGCAATGAAAGCAGTGCCGATCATACTGCTCCTTGTGTGCAGAGAAAAGGTTTACGCCCGGAGTTTTAAACACCCTGTTCAGTTGGAGAGGGTCGTCGTGTTTTAACCCGATTTAAAAAAAAGAGTCCTGAGGGACACCGCAGTGCAGTACTTAACGGGGTGGTGTGGCGGTAAAATTAAGTAATTCCAATATTATAAATTAATTTTATTAGAATTAGTTAAGTACTGTACTGCGGTGTCCTTCAAGACTCATTTTTTTTTAAACTCGGGTTAAAACACGACGGGCGTTAGTGTGCACTGTATTCCACTTAAAGGCTCACCTGCTGCTTTTATGGCATATATTTGTAGAAATGAAGAGGCAAACTTAGGGAGGAACGTGCTGTTCAGTTAATGTCGTGGACCTAGCATTGACGTCACGCAGTAAGGTAGTCAGGTCGGGCTCGGTAAATGACAGCCAATTCAGGCTCCAACACAAGGAGTCCAGAGAGATGAGATGTGCACGGGGCTCATAAGTCCACTTCCTCCACTTGCCGAAGTGGACCTGTGGGAATGTTGATCGTGGTAATCAAAACCTCGTCCCCACAAGGTGGATGATAGCCCACCGGCTTTCAATTTCACACTGTATTTCCCATTTCCTAACTTCTTCCCTTTACACCTTGTATCCTCAGAGCCAACGGGTCTCTTCTCTACTACTACTACTACTTTATGTATTTTCTCTCAAGATGGGTTCTGTGTAGCCCGAAACGATATGAAAATAAAGAAACTTGGGTCTTTCCAGTGTTTCCCTCCCACCTAGTGAAGGAGAAGGAGAGGTAATTTGAACTATTGAAGGTACATCATAATTGTGTTACAAATATAACCACCAAGTGCCATACCATCCCCGCACCCTTCCCAACATATACACCCGTCCACAGTTGCCGCATGATAACGAGGTTGTTACCAGACTGCTAACGACCTTAATGAGCCCTCATTAACCATTCATATATTCCCAAAATTGAATCAACACCAACTAAAAATTCGCATAATTCTCTCTGCTATCTTTTTTGTTTTTGTATAATTTGTCCGTCTGGCCGAGGCTGTTTCACCTGAGGCCCCAGAACAAGGGGAGTTATGCGGGTGAGAGCATTTATATGAATATTACTGCTCTCTCTCTCTCTCTCTCTCTCACACACACACTCCCTGCACGTATCTATAAATCCTGCCTCTTGTTTGTCATAATAAATCAAGGAGTGAGTTTATAGTACACATATGATGCAGATACATTCATCTTCATTCTTTTCTGTTATATATACAAGGTGACGGCTCATCTTGTCAATTATACAGTATAATATGACTTTGAAGATTTTAATGAATATTCTTGGAGTAACTTAAAATAATAATAATATTAAAATTATATCAGTTTAGGATATTATAATACAGTTTCAAGTACAAGTATGTATATAATTCCAGGTTAAGATATTTCAAAATAACAACACTGGTATGGGTAAATTTACATGAATAATTCAGAAATAGTTATAGGTAAAAATGCATATGTAAATACAAATATAGAATAAGCAGACTTAAGTGCTAATAGAGATACAGGTTCAAATATAATCACAGGTATAGACAGAGGAAAAAACACAGACAAGGGTAGAAACAAGTACAGTTAGATACGACTATACATACACAGGTATACAAAACGAACACAGGTTGAGGTGCAATTACAAATACAGGGATACATATAGATTACAAATACATTCACACACAAAAAAATAAAAAAACAGACATCTTGAAATAAAAACATCACACAAGAACACCACCACCTCACCACATCTTGTACAAAACTGAAATTAAAATCAACGTATTACTGTTACTCATAACCATATTTTGGCCTAGTTCAGCGGGATGGGATGTATTTTTCCAACCACAACAAAGGACGTAATACAGTGGGATTATACATGCCATACATCTGCATACTAAGGCAGTCAAGTTGTTTGTTGTTGTGTGCGTGTACCACTATTTTCGTTCTAGTGTTTTAGCTGGGACGAATTCATGAACTTTGTAATAATAATAATAATAATATTAATAAATGGTTTATTAATCGAGTTGCAGCCGGTGGCTGAATATATACAGACTTACATTTGATTTAGACATAATGATATAATATGCGTTGAATACATTTGCAGGGCTGTACAGTACATAAATCAGGAGTTGTTTATTATTTTAACAATAGATGGGATGGTGCTATTCTTATATCTATCGGTGAGGGCTCTTATGGGCTGAATTTTGTTGTAGTGGCGGACTGCGCAAGGTGGGTGGGGGGCTGCCGGTGGGATGAGGTGGCGATGACGAGGGTGGTGCATTAGTTGGCTGCCAAACATTTCCAGTGCTTGGTGGTGGAGGTCACTAAGGGACGCCATTTCCAGGGTGGAGAGAGTTGATGTCGCCGTAGTATTCTGCACCGAGCATGATTCTGCAGGCCCTTTTCTGTACCTTCTCTAGCCGACGTTGTTGGGTGGAGTTGAGAGAAGACGACCAGGCTGGTGACGCATACGTTAGTTTGGGGAGAATAAAGGCGTTGTAGATAGTCCTCAGCTCTGGCGTGGGTGTCTCAAGTGATCTAAGTCGTCGTAGCATGTAGAGAAGGTACGAGGCTGCCTTGACTGTGTTATTTACATGGGCCTTCCAATCTTCGTATAGACTAGTCAGGTATGTGCAGGTACTAGTAATACTGAATCCTAACCTAACCTAACCTATTACTACCAAGGCCAGGAAAGATTGGGGCCTACTACCACTGAGACCAGGTAGGATTGAGGCCTATTACTACTGAGGTCAGGTAGGATTGGGGCCTAATGGGACTGGGATTATGTAGGATTAAGATCTATTACTACCAAGGCCAGGTAGGATTGGGGCCTATTAGGAGTGGGGCCTATTAAGACTGGGGCCTATTAGGACTGGGGCTTATTAAGACTGGGGCCTATTAGGACTGGGCCCCATTTGATCTGCGGCTTAGAGTATATCCGTTGTAGGAGACAGCAGCTGAACCTCTTCCCACTAACATAAATTGCATGGGATTTGTAGGCTGTGTGTTGGTCTGCTGGGCTGACAGAAGGTGGCGGAGAGAGAGAGAGAGAGAGAGAGAGAGAGAGAGAGAGAGAGAGAGAGAGAGAGAGAGAGAGAGAGAGAGAGAGAGAGAGAGAGAGAGAGAGAGAGAGAGAGAGAGAGAGTCTGCCGGAAACAAGACAAGATAGGAGAATGGAAGTAAAACAGTAATAGAGGAAACTCTGAAATGGAATGAGAGGATAATATGAGTGTGAAATAAAATCTATCTATCTATTATGCCAAAAAAAAAAATCGATCGAAATAGATTTAAATGTCGCTCAGTTTCGTCCCACCAACCCATTAATTCTCGTCAGATTTAACAGAAATTAAAGAAGGAAATTTAATATGAAATTATACAGGTGTAATAAAGTTGGTAGTCTTTAATAGTTGTCTGGACTGATAGTGGTGGTGCTGGTGTTAGTGGAGTGGTGGTGTTGCGTGTGGTGGTAGTGGTAATTCTTGTGGTGGTAGTGGTGGTTGGTGGTTGAAGTGAGAATGGTAGTGATAGTGGTGATAGTGGCGGTTTGGTAATAATGATAGTGGTAGTAGTAGTAGTAGTAGTGGTGGTGGTTGCGTTGGTATTGGTAGTGATAGGTGCCCCTCGGTGATGGTGATGATAAGGAGGGTTATATTGATAAACAGACAGACAGACAGAGTTAAAGAAAATGATAAAGTAAAACAAAAAC